TTAACAGTTCAGATCAGGTTCTGTCTGAACAAATTTTCTCTCAAGCAAAACATTATTCATCCAGTTGAACCCACTCATGATAAGAGAGGCTTAATCAAAGTATTAACCATTTTGAGATTTGAAGGAGGGTTTTCTAAAAGATTTGTTGGCCATTATGGTGACGGTTATTTTACTTTAATATTGCTCATTGATCATTCAAGTAAAATTAATTCTAATAAGATCAGTTGAGTCTTGCTTTCAGTAAGAGGTGAACATATCTATACTTTTGATAAGTGACATTATTCCCAAACTATTTTAACACAATTTATTGCTCATGTGAAGCATTAATTAATTAAGTTTCCTAAATGCAGTCATTTTCAAACAACTTCATTTGGCATGCTTAGGAGTTCATTCAAACTTTGGGAATGCATTTCTGTGCTGTTCAGCATGTTAGTCTCTACTCTTCATTGCATAGGGTTTAATTAGAAACATGCATAGACTTAACTGATACTAACTTTGGCTCAAATAATCAGAATATTTTCCTTTCAACATTTATAAATTCTTCCACTTTGTGTCATTATTCATCATAAAATTATAAGTCATGTATTTACAAAAGGATGTTGAAAGTTCTCAGCTTGCTCTATTCCCAAAATAACTCTTTCAATAACCAAACATTGGAATAATGATTTTGGGAAATGAGTCATGATGAGAACTTTTCAGCACCCACTTTTAGATTAGCTTTTTTCTTCATTTATCATCTGGAGAATTTAGCAGTATCAAAGTGCAGAATTTTGGTTTTAACTGAGAAAATCTTCCAATAAAAAAAAGAAATAAAATTACTGAATCTCAAAGAGGCCAAGTTATATTTATATCCTAAATAGTTACTTTTATAAATATTTATTTTCAATGTTTCACTCAGCCTTTTCAATGTTAATTGCATTAAATGATTACAAGTTTAGCCAAATATCTGAGTTTGGAACCAAGAAATGAAGTAAAAGAAGCAATGTTGCATTGAGATAATTTGGAGAAAAAAATAATTATGCATGAAATATTTTGAAATTTTAAAAATCTTACTTTTGAATATATGGAGGTTATATATATATATATATATATATATATATATATATATATATATATATATATATATATATATATATATCTTGTTTTCTTTTATTATATTTCTAGCTTCACACTTTATATATCTATATCTTCTGTCAGGAGGGACAAAATTTAATATTGTAGAAATTAAGTGATTCTTTTGCTATTACACTACTTCTGTTATTTATCAATATTATGTTTCCTCTGCTGGTATCAAGCACATATGTATCTATTAAGAATTTGCTATGTATGTGCAATCAAAAACAGACCTGTTGTATCTCACTGACAAATCCAGTTTTTTTCATTTAGTCAGGATTTCATTGTCACAACATTTTGGGCCTGGTTCTCATCAATCTTGCTCATTTTAATATCATAGAATTCAAGTAGTTATTGATACTAACAAAAAACTAACACTATCCATGCCTTGATACTTGCCAGCGTTCTTAATAAATGCAATTTCTGTGGAGATATTTACTTTTTGAAACTTCATGTGTGAAAAGTAAATGAGACTGATTTTTCATTAATTTATTAGCAATAATAATAAATAATTTCCCATCCATTTGAATAATCAAAAGTAAAGTTTATGAGGAAGATAAAAAAAAATGTAGAAACTGCTATAGCTGAACTAAAATGTGATTCAAATTAAGTTCAACAGTTAATATTTTAAAAACCTCTGATCTTGAGGAAATAAAAAATCATAATGCCTATAAAAATCAGGTGTTTTACTAGCAACAGGACCAAGTTCATTAATATAGATTAACTCTTTTTCACAAGTTCAGGTTCAAGCATTTTTTTGTTAAAAATCATGCTTAAATTTTGTCCTAAGACAATATGACTTGTGTTCCTGTTTAATTATAAACTGAAAAGATTTCTCTTAAAAACAATCTCTTTTACTCAAATGTATATATGATGACAAGACAATATTAAATTATATAAAATTAATTATTTTAGAAGCCATAAAAAAAGAAAATGATTCCCTGAGATAATGAAATCAAAATAATATAGCAGCTGATTTGTTAATTAGTTATTTTCATTTACAATTGATTTTTGCTATAAATATGATGATACATAAAACTATTTTATAGGTCATGATTTAGCAAAACATATTGATGTAAGGCAAAGATAAAAAATAAACTGCTTCATCTTTAGCAGGATAGACAATTCATTAAAATGCTTTTTTGTAGAATATGAATAACAAATAAAAGCCTCTTGATAAAAGAAATATTTTGATTAGAATCTTTCAGTGTCTAATGGGCACATACATATCTATTTCTATTCAGTAGTTATTTATATCAAAGATGTTAAGTTTTGTGTATATTTATCATCATGTTTTACCTGACCAAGCACAGTAGATTATTCCTTCTTTAGCATTGAAGATTACTGAAGAAAATTTGTATTGTGTTGATTTTTATCAACATTAATTATGCTATAAAGAGCTCAGAAATTTTGTGATAATGTATAGTTTTCTTACCCTGTACTTCAAGGGAAAATCTTTTATGGATAACAGGAAGTGACAAAGTGATTGTGATCTGTTATTTAAAAAAAAAAAATTGATATATTTATTTATACTGAATTTTTTATCAGTAATATTTTCTTATGACAATATATATTCAAACCCAGTAAACCCTTAAATGAAAAACAACTTTACACCTGTTGAGATAAGTAACTGATGTTTCCAATACTGCACAAGTAACTACAAATACATACAAATGTTATATCTATATGCTTATGTCTGTGTTTGTATATGTGCACAGTTTCTCTCCCTCTTTTTAGTTGTAAACATATTTATATGCTTTTGTTATTCATTATCACTGAAGAGTGAGAATAACTGCTTAGCCCATTTTGTTAGTTCTTATTTGTTGACATACAAGTATGTATTGTAATAGCTCATGGCAAAAACAATTCTGATTTAAATGGTAAATTTAAATTGTCCTTTTACATTAATTTCATTTTGTACCTTACTCCTATTATTTTTAGATTAAATTATAAATTGTATGCATGTCAAGTATTTTGTGATAATCAATTTGCAATGTAATTGATTGAAAATGTATCATTGAGACTGTCTCAATAAAAATGTTAAAGAATGGTAACATAATGAAATTCATGTTCTTATTTTTAGATAAAATCTGTGTCTTAAAGACAAGGAAAAACAATATTGTGAAATGTATAAGTTAAAAAATATAAAAAAACATTTAGTCTGATTAGACTTTGTTTCAGTTGAATAACAAATATTTCTGTTATCTATTTCAATACATACTGTATGTTTTTCTGCATTCCCCAAACATTTGTATACTTCTGTTTTAATCCTTCTAGTCACAATTTCTGTCTTTAAGAAAAAAACTGAAATTGAGATTTTCTTCACTTTATTATAAATCCAATTTTTGTCATATTAAATATTTGAGAATTTAAATTTGATAAAAATCTTTTCTAAATGTAGGAGATATTTTCATCAAATTTAGATTTCAAAGTAAATATCTTATATTGTAGCAGAATTAAAGTTGATAAAATATCCTAATATTTCATAATATAGCAGACTTAATCAGGCAAATGTTTGAAGTATTTGACTGAAGATATTCTGTTATTAAATTACATTATCTGAATGAATATTTTGAATCAAACCTTAAAGTAAATTTCTTGCCCTGAATTTGTCTTATATGCTACTGCAGAAAGCCTTGCTAAAGATATTTTTATTCTGCAGCACCAGAGATTCCAAAAACTATTTTCACTTTTGAAGAAATAGGTAAGTTGCAGAGAATTGTTATTGTAAATGTATAGCAAATATTTACCAGTAGATAAATTATTCTGTGTTAGTAGTTTAAGAAATTGTTACACTATTTTAAATCATGATTTACTTCCCAAAAAGGTTAAGGCTACTTTGTTAAAATTTAAATTATTTTTTCTGAAAGTACATTCAATATTTTCACAATTCATTATGTAGTCTGGTTTATTTGCATTATTATTTTTAATTACAATTTGTGTCTTTTAAAATATGGCTTTCAATTTTTAATTTATAGAAAGGATTTGAGACGAAATGCCAGTTCAATGTTACTTTTATTACTCTTAATTTTGGAACATGCAGATGAAATATTAAAACTGCATGACATTTTTTCATATGATAACAGTCATTATTTAATTGTAGATGTATATATTTGATCATAGTACTGTATAGAAGTATATATTAGTATTAGTCTAGAAGTATATAGTATATAATTAATTACATTCTGTTTAAATGATGCAGCGGAAGTGTTACAAAGAATCTCATTCAGTTATTGTTGCAGGTAATTGCATAATGATTTCTAAACTTAATGAAGATGTAAACATTATTGTATAAAAAGCATTTTTAAGTTAAAAACATTTTATTTAATACAACAGTTTATATGGAATTTGGATTATTTGATAGTTTTCCCAATACTGGCATTTTCAAAAGCTGTTAAAGTGAAAGGCATAGTTTCATATACTTCCATTACAATTTTCTTAAAATCAAGATACTCTGTTGAGTTGTGAGCATTATATCCTTTTCTTTTATATCTTGCCTTTCTTTATCATCTATATCTCTTCTCACATGTATCCCATCTCTGATTGAATTCATCTCAACTCGCTTTCCCTCTTTTCTCTTGTGCTTCACTTTAGAGGAATGCCATGATGCCAAATTGGATATTGTCTTTGTCTTGGATACATCTACCAGTATGACAGAACCAAACTTTATAAAAATTCTTGCCTTTCTGAAAAGCTTCTTGTCTGAAGCTCCTATCTATGCGGAAGGTGTGAGAGTTGGTGTGCTCACATACAGCACTGATGTGAAAATTCAGTTCCACCTGAATGAATTTATGAGCAAAGAGGAAGTCTTTGCTGCCATTGATAAGATTCCATACAACTACGGCAGCACAAATACTGCTGGAGCTATTAAAACTATGCACAATATCATGTTCCATGGTCGGAATGGTGACCGAGAAGATGCACCTAACATGGCATTTGTGGTCACTGATGGAGTTTCTAATGTCAACTCATTCAAGACAGTTGATGAAGCAGAAGCGGCCAAAAAAGATGGAATTCATATTTATGCAATTGGAATTGGTCTGGCTGATACACGTGAACTTAACAAAATTGCGTCAGCACCATTTTCCAAAAACCGATTCATTGTTCGTGAATTTGATGAGCTTGACACACTCCAGTCTAAATTATTTGAGAAGCTTTGCCCTGGTAAGTTTAAATTTTATGGGCACTCATCTAAGAATGAAATATGCAAAGAAAACAGGCACCTGCACCTTCACTAAATGTCTTTTAGCAGCATCTTTATATGGTTCATCAATCAAGATGCAAATTTGTATATGCAGCATTAATAAAGAGATTTATTGTTATTAGACAGGGCTCAGTACAGATACAACATGAGAGCTGTTTTAATCTTATCAAAATGGCTTGGAGATTACAACAAAATAATTTATCATGCATTTTATATTGATATTAAATAACTACAGTGTACAAATGATATCAGCTATTTTTAAGTGGTATCAGTTTCTCAAGAAGGAGCCTGTTCTTTGATAACACTGGACACTAATTTTGTGTCATTGCACTTCTAGTCTAGTTTTGAATCACCCACTGTTTGTAATAGAATTCATACTTATCTTAGTTCACACTTGTTCCTCACCTTGAATGCCTTCTTTTACTTTCACAAGCAAATGTTTTCACTTAACTCTCTTTCTAGAAAAATCATTTATTTTCACTTTCAGATATTGATTTTATTACATATTCTATCCTTTGGTAATATATGAAGTCTTTTTTACTACTTAACACTATATAATCTTTGCTTTTTTACCATTGAAATCTGAAAGTATATGTTAAAATCTCACCATTCAATTTATTGTCAACTACTTTTTCAGGCCACCCATCCACAAAAGTCACTTACTGAATGCTCTGCACATGGCACATTTATTCATAGAGTGCAAGTAGAATTTCAACATTTGTTCTTTGTTAGTTTTTGTATAATTTCACTTTGATACAAGCTTAGTTTATGAAAAGTGTAGTGGAGACTGAATGAAAATGTTTGACTGCATGTAACTGCAGCACATATGTATCATAGTTCACAAAACTAGAAACATTTTTATCACTCTCTCTCTCTCTCTCTCTCACTCTCTCTCTCTCTCTGATAAAATAAAAGAATAAATAGAATGTATATCAATCTAACGTTTCATTTTTATAAAATAATAAAAGTGAAACTTGTTAGATTGCTATATGTTTCCTATTTGTTCTTTTATTTTATCATCCTTTAGATTCTGATCCATATATATATATATATATATATATATATATATTTGATTAGACAAGTGATTTGTAAAGTCTATACTAACATTTAAATTTAAATAACATCTCATAGATAATCATTTCAATTCAAAATACGTATGTATGTATTCAAAGTATGTATGCGTTTATGTTTGGATGGATGGATGTGTAATTATAAATTTTATTACTATTTTTGTTTATGTTATTTTTCCTTTTCTTAAAAACAGTCTTCAGAAACAAACATTATTACAAATAGAAGTACAAAGATCTAGTAGATTAAAGTAGTTTTTCTTTTTAATCCACTTTATTATTCTACTCTATCAACTAAGTTGATTACAAAAGCAGCAAAAATTAAATTTTCCCTTTCATTTTTACATTAACCTATTTTTTAAAAGAAAGCACAATGAATTTTTATGTTTGGAAATAACATGTCTACTTATAAAAGGGGTAACATTTTATCAAGTTAGAAATAATCAAAATAGAGAATCTAAATTTGGAAAATATTTTACTTGAAATAATTTCATCTATATTGATGCTTAAATGTATGGGATTATTATATTGCTGACTGTATGACTGTTCAGAGTGAACAAGTTTTGTGTGTACAAGATTTGGGCCACACTTTTATCATCTATATCATATTGTGCAATGATTCTTTTCACAGCTGCTACACCTCCACCAGAACCTGTAGGTGAGTTTCTAAACTTTAAGAGATTTTCTCATTGCAAATCAAGGTTGCTATGTTTATCAACAGAATTCTAAAATTCATTACATTATAAACAGAAAAAAAAAAATGTTTTCGTAATTGAATTTCCTGACACCCTTGAGAATTTATTTTTTTATCTAACATGCTTATTTCTTTCATGAATTCATTTTCTTATATATTTTTTTTATTTACTTATATCAAAAACAAATTATTTTAGGATAGATCAAAATGAACAGTGAAATACAATTTTCTCTTTATGATAGAATAACATTTTCCTTTTTATGTAAATTTAAGACAGAAGATGTTCAACCACTTTACCTTATATTGATTCTTTATTTTTTATCTGCCATTGTTTAATTTCTATCTAGGTATGAGAGAGCTTTACTTTCCATTATACAAGAATAAGTAAAAAATTATCAACAATTTCACCATAACATATAAATCATAATTATAATTTTTGACTTTCCCTTGTATTTATATCTGATCTGTTTCCATAGACAGAATATATAAAATATATCTGACATTTAGTTCTATATTATTTAATCATATCAATACTAGAGTTTTGTCATGCATCTTCTATTCTGCATCATTTGCTAGGTGAATGTCAACCTGCTACAGCTGATGTTGTCATCATGATAGATACATCTACTAGTGTGGGTGAGGCCAATTTCAAAAAGACTATCAACTTTATCAAGCATTTCTTGGCTGAAGCAGATATTGACCGGGGTGCTGTACGTGTTGGTGTGGCCATTTACAGTACTAGTGTTTTTGTTAAATTTAACTTAGATGAATATTCAACAAAAGATGAAGTTTTTGATGCGCTAGATATGATTCAGTACAGGTATGGCAGCACAAATATTGCCCATGCCTTCCGAGTGATGAGAACAAGAATGTTTACAGTTGGCAATGGAGACAGACCTGATGTTAAAAACATAGGACTCATTATCACTGACGGCATTTCAAACTATGAGCACTATGAAACAGTCCCCCAGGCTCGCTTGACTCAAGATGCAGGAATCCATGTCTATGCCATTGGTATAGGATTAGCTGATACTAAGGAATTGGAACAGATTTCTTCGCAACCTGCTGAGGAAAATATGTTCCTTGTGCGGAACTTTGATGAACTTGATATACTTTCCTACAAGGTTTTTGAGCCATATTGTCCAGGTAAGAAGTTTTGATGGTCTGATCTGTCCACATTGAGTCACTGGATACTGCACTTGCAAATGGTATGTGAAAATAACAATTCAATGCTCTAAGCTTTTCTGCTTCTCACTGGACATTGTTATGGTTAGAATGACCAATAAGGAATGTGCTGACAATGTCCACTTTATCTCAGTCATGCATCTGCTATTATCTTCTCTCTTCTTCCTTTCTATTTCTATCTCTTTGCATTAGAAAGAGAAAGAAAGAAAGAGAGAGAGGAGGAAAGTGAGAAAAGATTTTATCATAGCTACAGATGCTTATTAATAATTCTAAAACCATTCAATCATTTCTTCACTCCTATAACACTCATTCAATTGATATTCACTAATGTTTCAATTTCTTATTCAGTATCATTCATTTGCTTTTCACTTTCTTCTGCTGCTTTTTCTCTCTTCCAAAGCACAAATGTGAGAGAGAAAGTAAATGAAAGAATGGCAGTAAAAACTCTGCAAATCTTCAGATTATTGATGCTTTTTAACAGTTCTTTCCTTTTTCATTCACTTTCTTATTCTCTTGCTTATTCACTGATTCCTTTGTTCACCTTGTCCACTTATTCACTTGTCCATTCCTTTATAGATTAAGTGGTTTTATTCATAAGAATGTTCATGAAAAGCACATATTCTCAACATGGCTGCCTCATGATCTTAAATCTTTCATTTGTACATATTTAATACCAATTTCAAATTCAAGATGACTTGTGCAAATGTCATGACCATCATTCACTTTTTCACTTATTCATTGTTCAGTCATTACTTCACTTATTAATTCATTCAGTTATTTGCCTATTTAACTGATATGCTTGTTAACAGTTACATGAAAGTAGTTCTTGTCATACAAAATCAAAACTAATTTTATTAGATATTTTTTATACAACCAACATAATGCAGCTCCATTGTCTTACAAATACATGAATCCAATGTATTATGATTAAAATTACTTTTTTGGACATCCAGCTGAGAAAAAAAGTACTAAAATATATCTTTGCATTCACAATTTTTATTTTTTATTTTCTTCCATTGTAAATCAACAATTGGAAATGTTAACAGGTTTTCACATCATTTAAAATGTTTAGCCTTTCAGAATTACTTTGCTTCTCTCTTTCTTATTTATATTTTATTGTTTAAGTGTTTTAGGCTTACATTACATCACTTATAATATAAGAATGAACTTCAAGAGTTTTCCATTTTACTTTGTATAAATATTTTAGCAAGTAATTTAATGAGTTTTCATTGACACAGTAGAGTGTAATAGCCTCACTGATAATCCTGCATGCAAACAACACAAACATTAAAACAATTGACATGAACTCACTAGAATTTGATCCCATTTTTACTGGCATTGTGCATAAGGGAAAACTGCATGAGTAAATCATTTCTACAATTTGAATCATTTGTTTAAAAAATGTTCATGACATTTTAAAGTTTTATTTATTTGTTCATATAATTGTTAATTTGAAAATCTTTTTTATTAAGATTTATAAATTCTACTTCTTTGGCTTATGTGATTTAATTACAAACTATCATTCCTGTGCACCACAGTTTATGCTTGTATTCAATTTATTGTTACAATAAATTCTTCTTATTTTTTTTAATGGTACTTGTATATGGCCATGCTCTCTTAATCTTTTGTTCCATAATATTGTTTATTATAAAATATATACCTTAATAGAATAAAATAGGAGCTACACTTTCTAAAATCTCTTATTTGGTAGCTCTAAGCATGAAATATATTAATCACATTGACTGTAAAATGCAGGCTATAAAATTCCATTGTTATTCATAGACATTATTATAAGCAGAAAAATTGAATTATCAAATATATAAACATTTCATTTAAACTCAAAGAATTAAAACTAACATAATGACAGAAAGGAGATTTTTCTGAATCAGGCTGCAGAGGTAAATCATTTTTTAAGTTAAATATACTATACATTTGCTCATATACAAATTATTTACTTCATTGACTTTATTTATGGCACTTATATATATATATATATATATATATATATATATATATATATATATATATTATACCTATTACAGTGCTCAACTAAAAGAAGCAAAATATGAATATAAAATATCATACATTGAGTGCTGGTGTTTATCAAGAACTATTTTATATTGTATTATTGTACCAAAATAACAGTTAGAATGATACAATAGACAACCCACAATGCACCTGTATATATAAATAGTTGAGCTAAAACACAACCCACATGGCCTGATGATTGTGTTTAGCATGAAACAGTCTGTCGCCTCTGTCTACTTTTATATTTACATATGCCCTACATATATACATGTGTGATTAATTAGTAAGAAATCCATTAAAACATTAAAATATTATACATGATTAATTTATTTTATGCAATCTCAATTTGGTGCCTTTATCCTACAGTTCCCATCAAAACTGAACCTCCGACAGAACCGCCTGTTGGTAAGTGTTACTAGTGGAGAATTACACTTGTTCCTTCATAGCTTTAGCTTTGGAAATAACAATCTAAACAACATCTTCTTTTGCAATATCCTTATTACAAAGAGTCTTCATTATCATCATCCAATTCAACTTTGTAGAAGTTATTTATCATTGGGGACATTGTCTCAATCTAGTTACAAAACAAAGTACACTTACACATATCTCATATTTCTGCAGAAAAATGAACCATCATCTCTCACTTATACATAGACACACACACACATACACATTTGTATATCTTAGTATCTTGATATGACGACTTTGTTCATATTCTGTGGCATTTGCATTGAATGCAAACTATAATCACACAATGACAAATCCCAATGCAATCGTTTCTTTTGCATCTCCTGCACATTTATTTTTCTCTGTTTCATACAACACAACATAATGCATTCTCTGACAATTCTATTCACAGTTGATACAACAACTGAAGAGCCAGAACCAATTGGTGAGTTTGTACACCAACATTTTAATCGGTCACATTGCACACTTATCAACTGGCACAACAAACACAAAGCAACTTTTTACTCATTTTAGCTCAAAATATATATATATATATATATATATATATATATATATATATATATATGTTAAATATCATAACATTAATATTTCACTATTTCTCCTTTTATATAATATACATAATTCTGTTAAAAAAACTGTAAATATTGTAAATGCAGAAATCATCAATAAGAAATTAATTTTAAGGAAATTTTGCAAATTTCAATATTTCACCGTGTACAGAAAATGTAGATACACGTTTTTTTTCTTTCACGAGGAAAAATTACTAATTTCTGGGGTCATAGCTGAAGTCCAAGAACTTGAATACTGTCCTGTTTCATTTGAAAAATGAGCAATATTTCTACTGCTATTTTGATATCTACTGTCTGATTGTACCTTCAGTTTACGCACTGATCATATTTTAATAAGTTTATTTTTACTGGTTGGGACTGTAAACTCCAATCTCCATACTTTTTGTTTATTTTTATTCATAGATAGGAGAAAGGATTGGATATCACTCCTAGATTTTAATTATGAGATGTCCTTTTCCTAGGCTGGTTGATAATCAAGATAGGAGAGTCCAGTCTGCCCAACTTTATAGACTCACCATTTAAAAATGTTTATGATATTTTTACTTGTCAATTTCCAAACTAAAATTATAAACACTTAATATGTTTGGATTTTAGTTAAAATCAAGATTTAATTTAGGAGGACCAAAACACAATACACATAGGTCTTATGCAATTATCAATCAGTTTTTATCTTTGTGTGATATTCATGTATGATTTCAGAGTTATCAAAATATATTCAACAGCTAAACAGGCTGAGTTATTTAAATCAACCTTCATTTCATCCTCTTGATGATCTCATCATTTTGAGATCTGGTCTTATACTTCTTACAACTTGTTATTACCCACATTCACTCAGACAAACAGACTAGATCTTTCAAAAATTATAATTTATTCATTACACAAAGTATCAAATTTCACAAATCTCATCTGCAATTGCACCTGCTGCACCTTCAAATTTTGCATCCAATCAAACCATGAATACATTCTACAATAATTTTGTTCACAGTTGAAACAACCACTGAAGAACCAGAACCAATTGGTGAGTGTAACACAAAACACATTTTCATTTACATACTTAATTACTGCATCTTAAAAAAACACAAAACCATTCCTTCTCCTTCAGTTGTTGACTAATAAATTGATTACAAAATAATTTTTATAGGTGTCAAGTGTCTACCATCTGAATTTAAGGTTTCTCTCATGAACATAAAAAACAAATAGTCTTGTTGTTTTTAATATTTGACATTACATTCACCCAATAAAGAGATGCAGTGACTAATTTTTTAAGCCATTGCTTCATTTCACTAACATCTCTTAAACAAATGTAAAGGTACATATATAATTACATAGAAAATGATAATAAATTCTCATCAGTCATATGATATTTTCACTTCTTGCATACCAAAATGTTTCATTCATCACCCCAAAAAACATTTTCTGACAATTCTCTTCACAGTCGAAATAACCACTACAGAGCCAGCACTAATTGGTGAGTTACATACAATGTTTTTACTAAACATATCTTAAGGCTCCCAAACTCATTGTTGTCTACTTTGACAACTATTTCAGTCATTAATTTATCTATTCCTTACTCTCCAGCACATTCATTCACTTAAAAAAAAATATTGAACACCCTTCCATTTTCATGGCAATTTATTTACCAAAGTTTTACTCACAAGATAAACATGAAAAATGAAAAACTGGATCAGAAAATCTTTTATACACATCAGCATCACTTACAGCATAAATTCCATTTTGACTACTGTTACTTTCTGTCACACTATATAGTTTAATATATGCTTGATATTTCTTCTGTATTGTTCAAAATGCATACAAATGGGAGCTAAATCTCTTAACAGACACATTCTTCTTGCACTACTTTATATTTCTAAATACTAAGTTCTTCATTCAATAAAAACATGAACACATTCTGCAAACATTTTCTTCACAGTTGAAACAACCACTGAAGAACCAGAACCTATTGGTGAGTTTAACACAAACATATTTTTACTAACCACTTAACACTATAATTCCTGCTGAAATCAAAGTAGAATCTTGGATTGGAGTATATTTTGTATATTTATTTTTTACAATAGAAACTATTCATTTGTTTCTATTTTGACAACAATAATGTTTCAAGAATAAGAAGAAAGCTGTGCTTGATTTGTAAGTGCCTTTGTAGATTTTATTTTGATCACCACTGAAAGAGAGTTTAATGAAAATAATGTACAATTAACTACAATAAATATAATTAAATCACTCAAACCAGAACAAATATGAATAATAATCAACTAAAATTAGAATTAATATAATTTTTATTACATAATGGACTTATCAGTAAAAAAAACAAACTTTGACCTTGCATTCTTGTTTCTTCCTGACATTTTTACCAGAAAATATTATTTTATATATAAACCCGATATACATATAACAATATTTTGCATCTCTTATGCATCAAAATTCAAAATTCTTTGTCCAACAAAACATGCATATTCTCCGGCACTTCTTTTCACAGTTGAAACTACAACCTTAACAGAACCAGAACCTGGTGAGTTTAGCAAAATACACATTTGTCTGCCACTTAACATGCAAATTCACAAATCTAAAAAACATATTTATTCATTGATAGCATATTTACTCTAAATAAGAGGGTTAAATATATAATTATACTACTTGCCTCTGCAGAATTTTTGTGATTCTATAAATTACTTTTGACAGGAATTTCTCCTTGAAAAATAAATTCATTTGTAAATTCTGTATCATATGTGAGGTGTTTTTTTTATCACTTTCTACTGCAGAAATAGAATTTTATCTTGTGTATTTTGGGATTTCACATCCAAAATTTTTACATTCATTCTTGAGAGTGCTGTTATCAAATTTTGCAAAAAATGTTAACTTGCACCCTAATTTTTTTCAAATATCTCTTTTCTTAAAAGAAGTACTCCTTTCCCAAGCCAACATACATGACCATGAAATTTCTATTATTTAAAATAAATAAATACATAAATAATTTATCAAATTAAAATAATATGTAATAATTACATTAATAAAAATAAAAAATAAATATATATATATATATATATATATATATATATATATATATATATATATGGAAATAAAGAAATTCAACAACATTTACTCACTTTCATTTATTAGGCATTAAATTATACATCACTTAGCATCCTCCATAGTTTAACTTGACTTTCATAGTTAGCCTGAAGTATATTTAAGTGTGTTCTAAAATTTAAAAATTTTGAAAACCTAATGGTATTTTTTACTTCTGTTTAAAAATACATGGTGCAAAATAAAATCCTTACATTTGCCTTGATAAAGTCAAAAAGAGGATAAAACATGTTGGTAAAGAAAAGTTTCCATTTTGTCTTTATTCATAATCATCTATGTTCGACATGATTAATAATCTGTTATTGTTTGTGTACACATAAAAATTCCATATCTTTTAAGTTAATTTCTGTTTCTGTAAAATCACACTTGTTTGCTAGTTTATTTTTTCATAGAGTTTAAACACTGCTATAGTCCAAAGAAATTTTCACAGACATTGTATTTTTTTTGTATAAGTATCCCTACACACAAGCCACTTTTTTGTATCAGTATCCCTACACACCTGTCAATGACAATGCCAGCAGCCCTCTGGGCCTCTAGCGGTCCATCAGTAGTAACATTGTCAAGACGAACTTGTTGGCGGTCCAACAGCAGGCCACCAGCAGTAAACACTAGTAGCATGCCACTCAGTGGCAGATTGGTGGCTTGCATGTAGAGATTTTCATGTGCCATCTCATTCCTATGTTCATACTGTTCATTTATAATTCTTTAATAGTAAGTCATAAAACTGTCAATGTACAACTAAATAATAGCAATAGCAACACATACATGGATGTCTGTGCATAGAAAGAGAGAAAGTGAGAGGAAGAGTTATGAATCTCAATTAAATAATTTTCAGGAAAAACCTCAAATACATTGATACTATATTTCTCACTCCATACAACATATACATTCTACAACACTTTCTTTCACAGTTGAAACAACCACTCCAGAACCAGAACCTGTTGGTGAGTCTGACACAACTGAATTTTTACCAAGCACTACCCCAGAAACATAAATATTACTAGTAACTGCAATAACACAAATACATAAACACACACATATAAATAGCATAACTATAAAATTATAATATTGCTCTTATTCTGCCAGAAAGTTATAGAAATCCTGCAACCAGTCATTTGATAGTTTTAAAAAGCTTTTATTTATACCTGGCTGAATTCAAAGTTCCTAATTCAAATAGCCAAAATGAGCCAATGTTCCAATGTATGTATCAACCTAATGCTTATTCCTAATTTTAATAATAGTGATAATTTAACAAAAAAATTATGCACAAAGATTTAATTAATTTCAAAGAATTTCAATAATTACCTTATGTAAAGCACTGGTTGCAATTTAGGTTTGCAAACTCAGTTGTTCATATGAGTGAATGTTGAAAAGTTTTCAACCTGACTCATTTCTCAAAATCTAACCAAAGGGCTAAACGTTATAAATTTTTTAGAATTCCTTGTTGGTTGGGTACATAATTTTTCAGTTCCTCTTATGGGCTTAATTCTCATATTGAACTCTCTAAGATGTAGGTTTTAAAACTGACCAGACCCAAACATTCACTTGACCTCAAGTACTATAATATGGAATATTTCCTCAAAGGTTATACCAATGCAATTGAGCAGGATGAAAGGGTACATAGCAGAAAAAAGTTTGAGAACTCTTGGTCTAAGATTTGGGATTTAGCTTAACTAAACCAACTCAAACACAAAGCTAAAATTACAGATCACTGACTGAATCTCTAACTCACTCTTAATAAAATATATGACTAGTATTGACTATTATATTCAAAAAGTGCTGTATTTTGAGATATGACTATAAAAAGAAAGAATTTTAGTTTAATTAATTTAACATGCGTTAAATTTTATTTCCAAAAGTACAGATGAAAACTATTTGCTTTCATTTATTTTGTGGTGATGGGTATCACATGTACATATATACATACAACATTATTAGTCATTATTCTTTTGCACATTTAAGTCCATGATTCTCCATTGACCAAAACATATTTACCTTCTATAACAATTCTCTTCACAGTTGAAAAAGTAATCATTACAGAACCAGAACCTGGTGAGTTGGACACCACACACTTTCTGCATCAATTTGCATACAATTCAGCTAGTACAACAAATATTATCACTTGTCATGATTGCCAGAATAAACATCTTTTCATTATATTTAGATGTGATCATTTACTACTCACTCATTCATCAATAAAACTTTACATTTTACCTCAGACATCTTGTGAAGTTATTACCCATATATTATCAAACTGTTATTCCTTTGGGAACCTACACTCAGATATACATATGGCTCTTTCTTATAACTGATTAAATTCAGATGAAACTTATCTTTTCATTTGTTGCCAGCTTTTTCCTCTTTTTCAATGTTATACAAAAAATACACAGTGTTTATAATGTTAATGTAAACACCCCATCATTATTGCACTTACTGTATATACAGTTCATACAGCAAAACATGTATACATTGTTTCATGATTTTCTTCACAGTTGAAACTACAACTACAGCACCACAAATAATTGGTGAGTTTAACACCCAAAGTTTTTATCAATTACATCATATACAAATATGGTTTTGACATTTGAATAGAACCACAAAGCAGAACCTGTTTTAGAATTTCTAATTTTCAAAAATGATCATTTATTACTACAATATAAATACAAATCTATCTATCTATCTATACAAACAGATATGTATGTGAATGTGCAATGTGTATGTAGATATGCATATTTAGGTACTATGAGGAAGTTTTTCAAGTTCACTTGGTTCAAAATGCATCATTAAATTAAAAATGATTGTAAATTTTCTGAGACACATCAGCTTCAAAATTCTTCCAAACTTTTTTCATCCCATACAACTGAAGTCATCTTATTTTACTGTTGATATCTACTTTATTGGATTTAAGTACATGTTATAGAACTTACGTAAAGTAATTCTCTTAACTCAAAACCTCTTATGTTCATTTCCAAATCACAGTATGGTAATCTTTATTATAATAATGTAGCTTTTCAAACTTCATTTGTCAATGTAAAGATAATAGAAATGTTTGTTTTATAATTTGCTATTGCATTATCATCCGATAATATTTATAAGAGACAATTTTTTTATATATATATATATATATATATATATATATATATATATATATATATATATATATATATATATATATAACTGTACTATGCTATACTATATTATATGTAACGAATGATGCATTCATTTGCTAGCGGAATGCCATGCTGCTATGGCCGATATTGTCTTCCTGGTGGATACATCTACTAGTGTGAGTGAAGCTAATTTCAAAAAAATTATCAACTTCATCAAGCATTTCCTGACTGAAGCAGACATTGATCGGGGTGCTGTACGTGTTGGTGTGGCTATCTACAGTACAAGCGTCTATGTCCAGTTTGATCTGAATGATTATTCAACGAAGGAAGATGTATTTGCCGCCCTAGACAAAATTCAGTATAGATATGGCAGCACAAATATTGCTCATGCTTTCCGAGTGATGAGAACAAGGATGTTCACTGTCGAAAAGGGAGACAGACCTGAAATCAGAAACATTGGAATTATTATCACTGATGGTGTTTCCAACATTGAGCACTATGAGACAGTTCCTCAAGCCCGCTTGGTTCAAAATGCAGGAATCCATGTCTATGCCATTGGTGTAGGATTAGCTGACACTACTGAGCTGGAACGAATTTCTTCATCACCATCCGAAGAAAATACATTTATTGTGCAAAACTTTGATGAGTTGGATGTGCTCATGTACAAAGTGTTTGAGAAGTTCTGCCCAGGTAAGAGTTCTGAAGGAGTCACCTCCTTTGTCCACAATTATGCACTGAATATTGCTGTAACTGCACCTGCAAATTGTATGTGAAAATATCCACAAGTCAATGATCTTGATTTTTCTGCTTCTCACTGGACATTGTTATGGTTAGAATGACCAATAAGGAATGTGCAGACAATGTCCACTTTCCATGTATAGTTTTATTATTCATGGATAGTATCTCAGCCATGCATCTGCTATTATCTTCTCTCTTCTTCCTTTCTATTTCTATCTCTTTGCATTAGAAAGAGAAAGAAAGAAAGAGAGAGAGGAGGAAAGTGAGAAAAGATTTTATCATAGCTACAGATGCTTATTAATAATTCTAAAACCATTCAATCATTTCTTCACTCCTATAACACTCATTCAATTGATATTCACTAATGTTTCAATTTCTTATTCAGTATCATTCATTTGCTTTTCACTTTCTTCTGCTGCTTTTTCTCTCTTCCAAAGCACAAATGTGAGAGAGAAAGTAAATGAAAGAATGGCAGTAAAAACTCTGCAAATCTTCAGATTATTGATGCTTTTTAACAGTTCTTTCCTTTTTCATTCACTTCCTTATTCTCTTGCATATTCACTGATTCCTTTGTTCACCTTGTCCACTTATTCACTTGTCCATTCCTTTATAGATTAAGTGGTTTTATTCATAAGAATGTTCATGAAAAGCACATATTCTCAACATGGCTGCCTCATGATCATCTTGAATCTTTCATTTGTACACATTTCACATTATAGCTAACTTGTGCAAATAAACTTCATTGTTGCCCTTTTATATAGTATAGAAAATTGTTTTTAATATCAATCGCCATCTGCTATAATAAAAACACATTTGCGTAATATTTTACCTTGTAATTTTAAAACATTAACAATAAAATACATAGTACTGCTTCCAGTCCCTGTATCATCCAATAAACAATGTTGTTTACTATAGAGTTTTTACTTATATGAATGGATATATATAGTGATTGCACACTGGAAACTTGCCATTATTTAGTATGATTTTTTTATTCTTTTTTACTTTGGTACTTTATTGCTCAAAAATAATTTTGCTTATTGCACTGTTGCACAGAAAAATAAGCTTTTGTGATTATACACATTATCCTACTTAATCTTCATTATTTGCTTCTTTGAAAATGTTTAGTCTCTGTAATATTTTTCTGTTAATTCATCTTTTTATATCTCAATGGATAGCATCTTCTCTCATTAAGTTTATAAAGTGGTCATAATGTTTTATCTTATTAACTGTGATTTGTCATATGTTTTATAGAGGCAACAATAGAATTAAGCTCAAAATTACCATTCTCAATCTTTTTGTAAAGGCTTTAGAATTTGTATTTCACCTGAAACATTTTTTCCACATTAGCCACTTCCATCATTTTAGTTATCTCTTCACCATTCTGGTCAACTATGTACAACTATCTTTTCTGCAGTTCCTCCAACTGAACCTCCCACTGAACCCCCAACTGAGCCCCCCACAGGTAAGTTTGATTTATGTTAAACACTTTTAAATACTTCTTTATACTGATCACCTCTACTAAATAAAAACAGAGGAGTGTGCAATCAAATGTCGCCCTGCGCTGCGTTGTGTCATCCATTCATCAATGATTTAGCATTTTATTTTATAATATACTTTTTTAATTGAGAACTTTTAACTTTATTATTCAGAAACTAGTAGCAATATCTATGCTTCTGATATTTTTACTAAATATCTCATTGTCTCATTTGAATTACTCTTTACTGTCAGTAAACGAGAATCATGAGTTTAATGAAGAAATTAAATTTCTGCTTAGAGAGCAAAAAACATTTTTTCTTGTTATAATAGATTGTGTTTTGTTAAAAGAATGTCTGTCTCCATTGTTTTGTTGGAAATTGCTATAATAATTGTGTATGTGTGCCAGATATAATCATAATTTTTAATCTTTTCTGAACATTTTATATTTTCTGTTCATTTGATAGGACAAAATATTTGCACAAAAACATTAGAAAATTCTTGGAAATGTAGTTACATTGACTCCAAATAGCTGTTTATAATTCACTAAGTCTTATAGATATGGATACTATTTACTATCTACATACATATATTGCTGTGATATACACATATATATAAGTATATCATTGAACATATGTACTATGATATGTCGAGTATTATACAGGCATATACATTTTCATTAGATCAATTAATAACATAAAAAAAAACTTTCTGATCTATATATTACTTGTAAACATATGTTGAATGTAGAAATAAAATTTTTATCTTTTTAGTAGATGAAAAGTACTTTAAAATATTGAGTCTCATAATGAGAATCTTACTTTTAATATGATGGCTTAACTTTAGGTTTGTTGATCATATTGTTTTATCTTTTCCTGCGCTTTGCGATAGGTGAATGCAGCGCTGCGCCCTCAGACATAGTCTTTGTGATTGATTCATCGACCAGTGTAGGGGAAAATAATTTTAAGAAGGTGTTGAATTTCATCAAGAATTTCCTGTCTGAAGCACAAATTGGTCCTGAATTCGTACAGGTTGGCATCCTGCTTTATAGCACAGATGTCAGCATTCAGTTCCATCTAAATGATTATAAAGAAAAAGGAGATGTCTTTGCTGCAATTGACCGTATCAAATACAGCTATGGAAGTACTAATACTGCTGGTGGTATTGAAGCAATGAGGCGCAACATGTTCACACATGATAATGGTGACCGCCCGAATGCAAAGAACATTGCATTTGTTGTTACTGATGGGGTATCGAATATCAATGCATACAAAACAATGGATGAGGCAAAAAAAGCTCGTGCTGAAGATATTCACATCTATGCCATTGGAATTGGCTTGGATGAGACAACTGAGCTGAGGGCCTTGGCTTCTGAGCCAGCAGCCAAAAATACTTTCACAGTGGAAGATTTTGATGGGCTTGAAAATTTGAAGAAGGAAGTCTTTGATACTTTTTGTCCAAGCACAGGTAAGGCCTCTCTCTCAGCCACTGCAGTAAAGAAGCACTCAGAATCTGCCTCACTTTTCCTTTTCTCAGTTCACCTTGGCTCAACACGCCATTTGTCTTCTGCACAGAATTTTTCTTAATTATCTGTATTTTCACAAATCTTAGAAGCACAATTATTGTTTGTAACACACTTTGGAATATGTTACTTTTGATGCTGTTCACTAGAATTAGAATTTGTCTTTTTTACTGATTAGTCTTTCAGTATTAGGGCTGGGCACACAATGTACGTGATCTTTGTTAAGTGAACAATGCAAATATAAAAAGAGTTTCTCTTTCTCCAATGAATCAAAAATTTTATGTTGCAAATATAGATTTGGCTGATTAAAGATATGGTTTCTTAAGGATAAGTGCTATTTTTTTCTTACTCTACAGTTTTTATTTTATGGAGTTTAGGGTGTTTCACAAAACTTTTAATATTTTAAAGACCATTGATAAAAAATTAAAAATTGCTTGTCATTGTTATCATTCATTATTCTTAAATTGTAGTATTATCTTCTGCCTAAGTTAAAAAAAACATATGCAAAATATTGTAGCTTTAAAAACTGATATTGAAGTGAAAACTTCCTAAGTGAATATGTATAACCAACAAAAATTAAAGCTTTCTTTGACTCTGCATGGATATCACATTTTGAAGAAGATCAATTAATGTATAGGAGTAGATAGCTTCACTTATCATCCTGTTCAAACTCCTCCCTGATCTTTTGAACAGGAGTAGAACTTTATTATTTGTTTCCTGTTTAGGATCGGGTTTATGGTTTGTTCTAAAGTCTTTTCATTCTATTTCATACCTTTGTGTCTTAATGGCATTATTGCTTTGTTTGGGTTGAATTGATTAATAAAAAATATCCTACATTATCTTATTCTTCCTCCAGAATTACATTACAGCTTTTGTGGACAGTTTGTCTAATATATTAATGTCATTTAATCAGTAGAAGAGAATATTCCCCTCTTAGGCCATTACATAGATAATGTATATATTTTAGATTCCTTTATTGGAATATATGGCCACCACCTTGTCACATTAGGTGTGACTTCTAGTTTCTGTAGCAAGTCCGTTTTTATATGGATGGAATTACTAGCTTCACATTCAGTTGCTTTTGAATTCAGTTATCCTTCTCTTAGTCTGGTTGCCAAGTAAAACTAATGATCCCAGTCTGTGCTGCATAGAGAGCAGGTGGGAGAAGAGATGGTTCATGCCTTTTCAAAAGTAATTGTGCAAATTTTTATAAAGAATTTGTAAGTGTTCTCATGTTTGTACTGCATTTCATAAGTAAATCAATGTCTGTTGCATAATGATAAAAAAAGCATTTTTTATACAACAGGTATTTATTTTTCAACATACCTCCTTCCTTGTCACTGCACTCAATTCAGTAGGGGAATATTAAACATATAGATTGAACATAAGACATTGACGATTTCAGACCAAAATTCAACCGATAACTGTATATTCAGCTATTTATTGATGCACACTTTTATATATTGATTAGAATTAATAAAAGCAGCATTTTGTAAAATGATGTTTTGAAAGATGCCTATCATAGAATTTTTGCAATTTGCTTGATAAAAGGAATATCAAAATCAATATTGGTGCTGTTTTTGTTGCTGTTACCAGTTGTTTTTCTTTTAAATTTAAGGCAGAATCATAACAATGCGAAAATATTGCAATTTTATGATTACAATCAATTTTGCTTTTACTGAAATACTTTGGAAATGGCTAGAATTATTTGTGAATATGAACAACAAATGAGTTTTTGAAAGTTTTCTCACAGCTTTCACATTATATGAGTTACACACTATGTCAGATGTTATTTTTTAAGTCAATGTTTTCACAATAAAATTAGTATTAAACAACAAATGATTTTAAGATTTTCATGACATACCTATATTTATATAAATATATAAGAATTTCAGCTTATAATTACCTTTTTATTAGAAATATTTGCAATAACCTATTTGATGCAAGATTTTATTATGCAACTTGAGGGTAATTTCTCATATTGTAAATAAATATATATATAACTAGAAGTACCCATGAAAATTTCATGGTTTTCCACTTTTAATTTTCTAATGAATCTTAATTCTTAAGTTAATGATTAAATATGCTCATGGCAATTTCTGTGGAAATAAAACATCCATAGAAATTCCCTATTGCATTTTTAAACTATTGAGCTTAACAACTTTATCAAAATATTGCAATAACAATCATAAATAATTGGGTACAAATGAAAAGATTTGAAATTGAGAACTTTTTCCATTTTACTGAACCAGACATTAAACACTTCTATCTTCTCTTTCTTTCAGTTTCTCACTGAAACCAAGTAGCCTTTTTAATATGTCTTTTCAGTCTCTCCAGAAGATCAAAATGGAATAGTCCATTATTTATGAGTTACTGACAGAGCATAACATACATACATGCCAACTAAGTAACTATGTGAGGGACAAGCAGAATTATAATAAAATGATAATAATAATATAGTTATTGATATTTATTATATATATTCTGAGATGTAAAAATTGTCATGGATTGTAAGAAAGATATAAACTCAAATGAGAAACAAGATTTTGTAAAGATATTGAGTGATATAAATACAATGTTGGAAGTGAAAAAAAAAATATTGAACAGAAATCAAATAAGATTCCAAAAAGAAATAGAAAAGATTGGCAAAAGAAGAACAGGAAAAATGACTAAGAATTTCACAAAAAGAGATTTGAAAAACAGAGCAATAAGCAAGAAATATGTCAAGCAAGAAAGTATTTGGAAAAGATTTTCTAAATGCAGATAGAGAAAAAATATCCAGAACATTGGCTAAAGACAAGAACAACCAAACTAACACCTCTAAGTAGATATCACAAAGAGAAATTAGTAACTTGGGTGAAGAAACCCATAAAAAATACACTGATTTCTCAAAAGTAATTTTTAAGGATGAATACAGAGGTACATTGTATAGACAGTGGCAGGGCTAGTTGGATCTCTCATGGAAATGATTAGCCAGAATGACTTAAAAGACAGCAAGGGGAAATTGAATAATGTTTTAGGCCAGCATTTTAGGCAGAAAATTATTTGTTCTTTCAAATTTGATGATCATATAAATGTAGAGATTCATTGTAAGTTCTTGTGGGAAGATGAATTTTTCAGTAGTATAGATCATAACCAAGAAGCTTTAAACTAAAGTGTATATTCATATTCTGGCTAGCTTGCCAAAAATGGGTTAAAGATACCAGATTAATGGTATGGCTCCTAAACTCTACAGATATTAACCCATTAAAAAACTTGTGGTCCATCATTAAAAGTGATTAAATGAGAATGGAAATCAGTATTTGAGCAAAGAAGATCTCTGTGAAACAATAAGATCTGCTGCAATTAATATTGCAATTAAAAGAGTACAAAAGTCAACAAAATCAATGGCTCATTGATTAATGAAAGTTATATTTTTTATGGCTTGTATCTTTTTGGATTTATTTATGGATAGAAATTTATATTCCACTTAGTTTGTATAATAAAACTTGACACAGCTTCTCAAAAGAAGTTGGCAGTGTTTTTAATAATGTGATATAACATAAACTGAAACTATCTTGCTCATATGAATAAAAATATATCCTGAAAATTTTGCCAACATTAGATGATTAATACCAATTTTATTGAAGGTGTGATATACAAATCTATATATCAGAATTAAATATATATAAATAAATATATATCAGGTTAAATATCTATATATCAGGTTAAATATCTATATATCAGATTTTTACATTTTGTCATTTACTTACCCACCAATTTTATTGTAAAAACATTGATTTGCATAATAAAATCTGATATACTGTACTATTCATGAATGTGAATATTAATGGAATAAAATCCAAAAACTTTTTAAAACTGTTAATTGCATTTTATATCAAAAGCATATCTTTATAGAAGAAACCTGCTTTGAGGCAGTATGCCAAATCTTTAACATTATATCTTTCTGCTCAGTAATTATAACTTGACTGAATGTATCCAATTTCTTGATCACTTACAATGTGGCAATGTTCTACTGAAACATAAAGATCATCACAATGACTAGAATCACTCAGCTTTAATGTTTTAAGTTGCAAGCACATATCATTATTACTTGTCTAAAAGTATCTTTGGGGTAAACTCCCAATTGAACAAATATTCTGTTTATGTTTTTCTATATGTGTCTATTATTTCTGTTATTTGTTGCTGTGCGTTAAATATTTGACAGTATCTTACACTGAAAAGAGCAAGAAAGATTACAAAATGTCTCTCCAAATGATTGATATTCAATAACTTGAGGGAAATGCTTTGTCAGATGCATTTCATTTCTGGTTTTCACTTGCATATTTTATGGAAAGTTAAGCCCTTTTTACTGCTTTTTACACAGTTTTATGACTTTCATATATTTCTAAAAAGGATTTTGAAAATTGAATCAACAAACATAGTAATAGAATGAGTTTATTATATAGTGTCTGAAAAAAAAATAGTAAGCAACCAAAATTAGATGCATGATGTTAAAACAGAAACAAGATCAAAGAGTTTTCTTATTTCAACCTATATCCACCTGGTGTCAGTTCAAATTCACACCATTTTGACTCATATATTGAGCTTGGGTTGCTTAAAGTTCATATTTTCTTGATTTCAGAAGATCTGGAAATTTTCCAACATATTTCAGTGAAATTTTCACTTTTCAAAATTAGAGTGAAAGATTATAGTTTATATATATATGGATAAAAAGTGTCAGTTTAAAATGACACCAGGAAGATATGGGTTAAAGGTAATGAAAGCCTGTAGAATTTCAATGAATTAACTTCTGTTTATGTATCATCTCTTTCTGTTTTTTTAAATCATATATTTTAAGGACTTTTATTCCAAATGAAAAATTGAATTGCTAATTTTCAAACCCCTTGGTCTTCAACATGATATAGTCAAATTTTTAAAATGTTATTTTAGTAATGAATATAAAAAAATAATATATTATCGTGCAAAAATGCTTAATTTTTTTGCATTGAAGATACTTGTTTATTTATTAATAAGAGTAATTTGAAATTTATTTCAATTAAAACTTCCACTCCTAATTCCACACATGCTTGGCATTTATTCTGATCTGGAATAAGTAAAGCAATATAAACTGCTCAAACAAATCTGAATTCTTTTCTGTAAAAGAAAAGAAGATTATGAAAGTGAGTATGAAAAACAAGCTTCTAGTATTTTTGATTAACTTAGCAACTATGTTCTTGGTTCCAGAACCTCCTACACTTCCTCCCACCACTCCTGTACCCACCACTGGTGAGTCCTCTTCATGAAATCTTTCTATTTCTTTAAAAACTGATGATTGACTTGGATGTCAGTTAGTGTATGAATGCTACTGAGTCTACATTTTCTTGATTTTGAACTTCTAATCACAAAACCTTACAGACACATAAAAATGTGCTGTTATGTACAACCTTAAACTAATAATAATTAAATTTATATCATGTCTGTAAACACTGGAGCTTAATACCTATTATGTATCATTTAACAACAAAAAACAGTTGTTTTATACAAGTATATACATGTAATAGTTTTCTCTACATAGTTTTATACAAGTATATGCACATAATAGTTTTTCTCTACATATTCTACATGCAGCTGAAAATTTTCTAAGCTTGATCAAGATATAAATGTAAGTAGAGACACACCAGTTGGTAGATTAAAAAACATGCAAGTATACCAGAATATAACAACTGGTCAGCATGATTTTTAGTATACTAACTAGTATGTCTACTTATATCAATATCTTGGTCAGCCTATGAACTTTTCAGCCAACCCTAGTATATACAGAGATGGACAAGCAGAAACACATACATGAATATACATGCATATATATATATATATATATATATATATATATATATATATATATATATATATATATAGATATATATATATATATAGATATATATATATATATGTATATACATATATATATACATATATATATATATATATATATATATATATATATATAATATATAAAATGCGTTTCTATCTTTACTAACCTTCACTTTTCTCTTTGCCTCTAACAATTAGCTTGCAGGTCATCTTTAGCTGATGTTGTTCTGGTTTTGGATTCTTCAACCAGTGTCAGTGCTCAAAATTTTCAGAAGATGCTCACATTTGCCAAAATTTCTTATCTGAAGCCAGCATTGATTCGGGTGGAGTTCGTGTTGGTTTACTTGTTTATAGCACCAAAGTTCACATACAGTTCCACTTGAATGAGTACTCATCGAAAAACCAGGTGTTTGCTGCAATAGACAGAATTGAGTATAGGTATGGTGATACTAACACAGCTGCAGCCCTTAAGGCCCTCAGAACTGAAATGTTTACCAGTGAGCATGGGGATAGAACAGAGGCACCGAGCGTAGCACTCGTCCTAACTGATGGGGTTTCTAACATAGATTCAAAGCGCACTGTAGCAGAAGCAATACGCGCGCAATCTTCAGACATTCACATTTATGCAATTGGCATTGGATTGGCTGATCTAACAGAACTGCAAAAAATAGCATCATCTCCAGCTGCCGACAACAGCTTTAGTGTTGAAGATTTTGATGAACTTGATAAAATGAAAGAGGAAGTCTTTGCCCATTTCTGTCCTGGTAAGTTTTCTATTTTTCAACAGAAAGCAAAACAGAAATATGTTGACCTTATAACCTCACATCTATGAACATAGTTTTTAGCTTAAGCTTTTGTAAGTTAAGCAAATATGAGTTTTGTTTGTTCTCAGTTTTACTGTTTCCATTGACACTGTATTGGTGATAGATGCACTTGTCATTCTTCATACAGTTTTAGGAAACTCATGCAAACATTTACATCTCAATAAGAAGAGTTGAATGAATCAATTTTACTAATTTACTTGATAATTACTGAGAAAATGTACCTATTTAAGCATTGTAAAAATGGAAATAACAAACATGAGAAAAATAGTTTGCAAAGATTCATGCTGTTAGCAATTTTGCTTATAAAATGAAAATAATACTTTGATCTTAAATAATAAAAAGATAGAAATAATTCAGTGATGAAATATTTTATATAAGCATAATATTGGAGGACTAGAAATGTATAAACTATAGTTATAACCAAACTTTTCAAAATATCATTTTTTAAAATAAATATTATTTTATTTTTACTACCTACATGTAAATAATTTGGTGTTATACATTTTCATCAAATTCTGTCTTTAGATGATTTTCTTAATTGAGCATTTAAAAATCATACTAATGGATATGTATGTACTCAAGGTGTATTCATATTCCTCACATATTTTTCATAAGACTTTAAAATGTCTCTGATTTTATTACTGAATTATGCTTCTCTATTGCTCAGTAATATGGATTACAATATAGTCCATTATTTTTTTCCTTAGAACCAACGAAACCTCCACCAGAGCCAGGTAAGGTCATCGTACTTCCAGCTAAAAAACTAAAATATTCTCACTGTTATTGACCCAATACTTGCGCGCGCACATAATGACCTGCTTACAGTTTTGTGAATATTCCTTATTGTTTGGTATGACTGCAAAACTTGACGAATGTTTTGTATGACTCTGAACAATGATCAGATTTTAATGTGACTCTGAATGTTGATTAATGTCTGTTGTAATTATAAGAAATGATTACTGTTTGGTAGTGATCAAATCTTTCATGATTTCATTTGATACGTGTCTTGTATTGAATATTTTCCTATGTTATTGGAATAACTAAGGTTTTCAAGAAGTGAAATTTTATTTATATTAATATTTTATTTATATTTGTCAGTGTAACAGAATAGGTCAAATTAGTGAATGTCCTTTCTTATTTTCATTTTGTGTCATAAAACTAGATTTTTTTCTAGCAACTTTTTACACTGAATAATATGTTTATTACAATAACCTGATAAACAGTGTTTTTTTTATGATTCTTTGTAATTATAATATTTGAATATTTATTCAAAATATGATGAGATTAATATACTATTGAATAAATCTATACCTGTTTAGCAAATAGTATTCTTATAAATTACTACCATTGCTTATTTTTATTATGATTGTGCTTTTACTTTCTAATGCAGAAAGCTTTCTTTCTTATTGTTACTTTCTCAAGAATTTGAAGTAAGATAATAATTAAAGTGGATTATAGAATTTGTTTAAATTTTGACCAGTGTTAGCTTTCATAAATTTAGGTACATATAAGTTAAATTTTCTTTTTCAAATTACTTTGTACTTTGTTTTTAAAAAATTCACTGTACTAATTATATTGTCCTGCTATCCAGAATGTTCTGTTGCATCGTCTGATGTCATCTTCCTCCTGGATAGCTCGACAAGCGTTCTTGAAACCAACTTCAGGAAAGTACTTGCCTTTGTCAAGGAATTCTTGTCTGAGGCCTATTTTGGAGCTGCTGGTATTCGTGTGGGCTTGGTCACTTACAGCACAAAGGTGAATGTCCAGTTTTATTTGAATTCTTATGAAACAAAAGAGGAGATATTTAATGCTATTGATAAAGTCCCATACACTTATGGAAGCACCAATACAGCTGGTGGACTGGAAAAATTGAGAGAGGAGATGTTTACCCATCAGCATGGAGATCGTCCAGAAGCCAGAAATATTGCTATTGTGGTTACTGATGGTGTATCAAATGTGAATCCTTACCGCACATTGGATGAAGCTGCTCTGCTGAAGGATGCAGATGTGCATATTTATGGTGTGGGAATTGGCCTAGTTGAACTTACTGAGCTGCAGCAAATAGTGTCCAAGCCAGCAGAGGAAAACACATTCCTTGCACAGAACTTTGATGATTTGCAAGGACTGAAAAGACTGGTCTTTGCTGAAATGTGTCCAGGTATGTGAGGATAGATATTGACTATGATATTGCAATTTGCATCCACAAATAGCAATGAACTATTGCACCATTTCCCAATGCTATAAATGCTCAATTACTCATTGCTCAGAGATTCATCTTCTCTCCATTAATGAAATAGAATTACTCTGATCACATTTCACTGACACTGGCTTGAACCAATTTCACTTGCACCTTTATTATTATATATCACCATACAGATATGTTTTTATCCAATAAAATTTGTTTGGTATTTTTGTTGATGATGACAATGATAATGACAATTATTACAGTCTTTTGGCACAGTAGATTAAATATTAGATTCCTAATCTATATTACTACATTAACTGAGTTGTATATCTCTTCAAGTTTTTTTTTTCTTTTCACTGATCATATTTATAAAATAATATCAGCTTTTTGGCCAATGTTTTAATCATGGATTTTGTAATAATGAAATATCCAATTAAATAACAGAAAAGTAAGAGAAACATTTTTAACTGGTTTTATTTGCAAAATAGTTTATGTGGATATATTTTCTGTATAGTCTCCAACTGTAATCAGATAGTAAATTGGCCAAAACTATGATAAAAAGCAAAAAATGAATAGATTATTTGTATTTGTTCATTTTTGTCTGTGTAACTTTTTGCTGTAATAAAGTTATTTCCCTGGCATTTATGATGCTAGGTAACAGTGTTTTTTATGTAGCTTGGAGTTAAAAAGACCAAATTAGAAAATATATTTAAAGATTTACATGTACCACCTAATAGTAGTAAGGACTTAACAAAATATCAATTTCATATATGCCATCATTTTTTATAGCATGGGTAAACAAGTAAATAGATTTTTTAGATAAAATAAAACAATATGAAATAATTAGTTAAAAGTAATAATAGAGTATTTAACATAAAATAATTATTTAACTTCAAAGAATTTGAAATGATAATTGTTTCTTTCATTTTTTCAATGCATTAAAATAAAAAATAAATGTATACTAATGCAGCAATTTAGAAAGACTTAACATTTTAAAACTTTTTATAGAAATAAGTTTATTCTTATTAATAGGGAATATTTTCTCTGAAAACAGTTGCAATTGTTATTGTTTGATTTTGAACCAAATAGTTTATTAAATTTTAACTTTAAAAATTTTTACAAAGGAGACAGTATTTACATTGTGAGAAAAGTTACCTATTTTTTTTCAATAAATTTTTTGTATTTATGGATAAATCTTTCTCTTACTAATTTTTCATTTATATTCATTTTATTTTTACATTCATCTCTTAAAGTAACTAATATATAAGCACATTAATGAATTTATCTATATTATAACTCAATGAACTTATTAACACACAGTCAAAATTTTTCCCTATTTTATAGAAATCTCATAAGTCTGTTCACAAATCTTGCATGTTCAGCACATTGGGGTACTCTCCATCTTACAGTTTGTTTTTATAAGTAAAGATTTTAAACCTGCATTGCATTATAAGTAAATGGTTTTCAATAGAATTGTCCTTTCCAAGTTTTTAATGATAATTTGATTGAACATTTTTTGGAGTATATACACATACTTTAAACTGTTCAAGAACATTTACTGAGTCATCTAACAATTACAAAGATTTTTAGTCTTTAACCATGAAATGATACATTCTGATGTAATGAATATCCTGTATGTTCCGATAATATCAATATTTACCCTTGTTTTAAATTATTTGATCTTTATTTCCATGTTAATGAAAAATATGCTTCAGTTAGTCTTGTTCATTTGAAAAAAAATATAATTTCACAACTTTTTATTAATATTTCAGCTTTTTAAGTAAATTGGAAGCTTTTCAAACTTTCAAGCAATTCTTCTTTGATATTTACATTCCAAATCTCACAGATTACATCTGATATTGTATATTGTAATCTTGATAATTCTTGATTTTTGAAAGAATAATTATATATATATATATATATATATATATATATATATAGGTATTTGACAAATGAGTGTTGGTTATTTCATTCAGCATTTGGTATCTCTCTTCACAGAGCCTCCAACAACAACACCAATACCAACTACAACGGGTATGTGTGGTTTTCTTAGTTTCTTGAACAGTTATTTTACCATCTTGGCATTATCTTTCAGATTTTAATTCTTTCAAATTTATGATCAGGTTTACAAAATGAACATTCTTCCATATAGTTCTAATGACACACAGTCATGTGCTTAAATTTATGTGTTACGGATTATTTTCACACTGAATGCTCCAAAACCATTATTATTTAAATACTAAGAATTAGTACTGAATTGATATCATGTCACAGGGTCACCATATGTACTGCAGCCATAGCAGAAGTGGTGTATCTAAGGCAATATAGCCTGACAAAGTCCATCCCTCTTCAGGATGGTTTTTGAATTCAAAGTTTACTTCTAGACTGGTTACTACCTTAAGAGAGCACAGTCAGCCTTGAATGAATTCATACCTTTTCTAAAGGTATTTGTGCAAAAGTGAACAAAATGAACTTGGATGGAATTTGAACTCAGCTCACTGATTTCTCTTTCCAAGTTGTTAAACATTGCACTTACTCATATATGCTGACTGATGAGGGACATGCACAAAAATTGATATACTAGTTTCTTTGTTGCTTTAATTACCTGATAAAATGATGCTTTCTCTTGTATACACTTGTGTACATTGAAAATAACTGTTTCTCTTCTTTATTAACCATCATCTACCTTGTCATTTCACCTGAATTCTGTTATAGCTCATTATATATATATGTGTGGGTGGGTGCAAATGTGTCTAAGCATGTGAATGTGAAATTAAATTATATTTTGATGTAAGCTGTCAGTGGTGATTCTACTTCCTCTCTGATCATGTGATTTACTTGTGTCTTTCGTTATCTCACTGAAATATTCACTTCATTTTTTAACCTGCTTTTCCCTGCGCTTTTTAGAAAAATGCCGTGCAGCTACCTCAGATATTGCCTTCCTTCTTGATTCATCAACAAGTGTCAGTGAAGCTAATTTCAAGAAGGTTCTTTCGTTCGTCAAAGAATTCCTGTCAACAGCCTACATTGCTTCAGATGGTGTGCGTGTTTCTGTTGTGACATACAGCACTAGTGTGCATGTTGAGTTTCTCTTGGACAGATACACAACAAGAGAAGAGATTTATGGTGCCATTGATCAAATTCCTTATAGATATGGCAGCACCAATACAGCTGATGGAATAAAAGCCATCAGGCAGCAGGTCTTTTCTGTGGAGACAGGTGACCGTGTTGATGCTCCTAATTTCTTGTTTGTTGTCACTGATGGTGTTTCCAATATTAATGCTTATCGCACAATTGAAGAAGCTGAGATGGCCAAAAATCAGGACATCCACATCTATGCTATTGGTATTGGTTTGGCTGACACAAATGAACTGCAGAAGATGGCATCTGAACCAACTGATGCTAATACCTTTATTGTGCAAGAATTTAGCGAACTTAAAGGTGTGCAGGCAGAGCTATTTGAAGAGTTTTGTCCAGGTAGGTTCGAAGCAAGATTTAACACTTTATCATTGCTGTCATAGACAATTCCCTAAAAAAAGAAACAACTAGTTAAAAAAATGTTCACTTGCCCACTAAGAATATATGAATAACATTCATTTCTCAAGAGCCAAAATTTAAAATAAAAAAATCCCTCATATTCAAAAGAAGAAAGAGACTTTGTTTCTTTCATGAATTTTCTCAGGCAAAATAAATCTTAAAAGCTGCTGTTTGTTACCAGTTAAATTACTTTGATCCCATTTTAATTGGGAAGACAGCCAAGTGTTCACATGTGTATTTCTGTAATACATCTAAAAAAAATTTTAAATTTCTCAATTAATTATAATCTTTCTTTATAAATATGTTATAAATTGTTAAATAATTTTTCATAAAATTCTAAAGTTCTCTAATATCACTTGTAAAACAATTTAAAAAATGTCTTATTGAAAACTGAAGATTATTTGAATGATTTCATTAATTTTTAACTCTTCTTTCTTTCACAGTCACCGACTTCAGAATACAAGCAAAGCTATTTAATCAATTAATGTTTTATTCCTACTACTTTAAAATAATGAATATTTAATAATAATTATAATAAAAACTTGAATGTCTAATAATCATTATATTAATAACAGTAATAAGGATAATTTGGATACTCCATTATCATCTCTTAAACAAAATTAAAATAAATGTTGTTTTTAAATTGCTTTAAAATACCAATGTTGGATAAATTGCAAATAAATAGGTTTAAATTAAAAAATTTAAAATGCTTTGTTCTACAAATTGTACTTAGTATATAAAGACATAATTATTAATAACCAGCCAAAAATATTTTCTTAGAGTTATTCTTGTGTAGCAGCATCTGTTGCCATGACTGCCCTTGACTCACCAAATTAGTTATCTGTTTAACATGTCTCAACTGATGTCAATATGATGTTGTGGTTGTAATTTATTTCCAACAGTGCAAACCACTCCTCCGCCTACAGAACCCACAACTGGTGAGTGAGATTGCATTTTGTGTCAGAGTGTAGCTGATTATGACTTAACAGAAGTATGCTTGGTGAAAGCATCGTTTGCAAATGAAATTGATCCCTTTAGTATTTATTTAATAGAAAAAAACTGATGTTCTTGATATATTTGTAATCAAGACAAACTCAAGACAGTTTTAAAGCATAAAAGATCAAAGTAAGTAAAACAAATATGCTTGTATGTAATCCATATTTAATTAAAAAATAGGAATTGTGGTTGATTTCCTTTTAAATATTGCAAAGTTTGTTCATATCATACTCATTATAACTGAAAATAACTTTCACTGCCAATTTATATGAGTATATATATATAGATAGAAATATCAAAAGAGTCAGTCACTGGAACAAATATAGAATGAAAAGGGTCATCTGAGCATTTCAAAGTTTGTTTATATTATGCTCATAAAATATAAGTAAAAATCAATTTCATTGTTTATTTATTAGAGTATATACATGCAAAAATATCAAAAGAGTCAGTAAATGGAACCAAATATAGAATAAAATGGGTCTACTGAGATTGTAGATGGAATTATGAAATATAAGTAACCCAAAATATAGGTGGTTAGTAATAAAGATTAGAATAAATTATGATTACCTATAAGCATTTTTTTCAAAATTACAGATGGCAGATGAAGATAGATTGTATGGCTGTACTTATGCACACCAAATGCAACTTGCTTTAAATGTAAATTACATGGATTACTAGATATTTATAAATGTATCTGAAGACTATTAAGTGCATAAATGTGATAGGCAGTAAGTTAAAAGGGCCTGTCTATCACAAAGATCATGTTGCTGCCATGAAATTCAATAATAGTGATTGATATCTATAGTGTGTAGAGCCTTCCTGTTTTTAAGACAGCCATTAGAACCTGAGAGAATTTTTTTCTAAAGTATTTCAATTGTTTGTTATGATCCTTAATCTGTTATAGTAAAAAATGATATAAAAAGGTTCTCTAGGATCAAGAAAACAGTATCAAGTCTGTCAGGTTAACATAAATGACAACATACCTAAAAGGATACTATTTCTAATTATGGATATTTCCAAGCATGGCTTTTTATTATAATATCATAATGTTACTTATAATAAAAACTTCCTCTCATCAGAATTTGTGTGTGCTGACAACATTTCTTACATATATCAAATATTTAAAATCAGTGTGAGTGTGTGTGTGTGTGTTGTATATGTTTTGGTAATTGTTTTTAATTCATGTTTCATTCAAAAATGAATATTATAATCCAGTCTGTATGTAGCCCCATTTTCTATTCACTCCAAAATTAACATTATCACCTTATTATAATGAATCCCAACAATATTTTAAACTTAATGTTTTGTTGTTCAAATAAAAATAAATTTTATACTAAATTTTTGATTATCCCATAATAATATTCTAAACTTAATAAAAATAAAAGATAAACCAAATGTTATATTCTTCCACATAAACAAGATACACATGAAAAATTACTTTTGATAACTTATACGTTTTTACTATCTAAATCACTTAATCAATAATTTAATCAATGTAAAAAAAGAAATGTTTTTCATCCATTTATTTCTAAGCATGTATTGTTTTTTCTTTTCCTTTATTGTACAAATACTTGAATATACACTTATCGGAAGTATATATTATTTGTTTACTAAGTGGCTTTCATTATTATTATCACAGTTTTTTGTGTGGGATGATTGGCATAATACATATTATCAAGATATTTTGTAGTGGCTTAAATTGTAACATTACTTCCTACATTAATATATAGTGATAGAACTGTAATGAAAATTTCGATAATTTACCATTAAGCCATAGAACTTCACTGACAGAAATTTTTATCATCCACAGTTAACGGATGAAGAGTATCAAATAGAATAAAATTAAATCCTGCCCCTTGAAAATAAAGAAAGAAAACTGGAGGAAGGCTCTTTCTGTAAATATAATTCAGCTAATGAAACAATCTGAAAACACTTATTGTTGAAACTATTGTGAATTGTATGCATCAAGGTTTCTTACTTGCATGTTTCTTTCTCAGTAGTAGACAGACTATGCATACAAGTAAATGAGGCAAGATATCACTACGGCAAACTTTAAGACAAATACTACAGACCAATGTTTAGTGAGTTGATCTTACAAGTTATCACAACTAAGTGCTTTGCTGTTGTGGCTAAATTCCAAATGAGTTTAGTAAATACCTACTGCATTGACCTCTGATATTAAAATATTTATTTTTATAAGACTACACACATGATTTATAGCAAGTATTTTTACTTTTTATTATCCCTGCAAATCTTATATTCTTTTTAGACATAATATATTTCACTTTAGCTATAAAAGTATTTCATGACTAATTTTTAAAAACATCTTTCAAGCTTTTTTTAGTTTAGTTATTGGCACAATTTTCAAAACAAAAAATTGTCTAATTATTCTGTGTAGTCACAAGGCATAAAATATAGGTTCTTTGTCAGAAGATAGTTCTTTTAATTTCAGATTAGCTATAAATTCAATTTATCTACATGATCAGGTTTCATGCAATAGTACATTTCATAGTTAATTACCTGATTGTTAGAGGTTTCTTACCTAACAATCAACAGAGTGCAACAAGCCATATTCCAAATAAAAAAAATTGTTGATAATATTAAAAGCTTTTCATACTGCATCGCAAATTTTTTTTGTATTTGAAGTTCTTTTTATCAGTTTCTCTGTAATGTAATTCATTTTCATTAGAACTGAAACCAAGAAGTGAATATGTAATTCTTATGTCTTTTCTCTTCTTTGAATTCCTGCCCTCTCCTATAGAGGCCTGTACTGCTGCAACCTCTGATATAGTGTTCCTTCTGGACACGTCAACCAGCGTCAGTGAGCGTAACTTCAAAAAGGTTCTTCAGTTCGTCAAGCAGTTTTTGGCTGAGGCTTATATAGCACCTGATGGCGTTCATGTTGGAGTGATCACTTTCAGTAGCTATGCCTATGTCCAGTTCAATCTTAACAAGTTCTCCTCCAGGGAAGAAGTGTTTGAAGCTGTAGATAGCATTCCCTACAGCTATGGCAGTACTAACACTGCTGCTGGACTCCGAGCTCTGAGGGCTGCTTTCACAAAGGAAAATGGTGGACGACCTGAAGCACCAAATTATGCCTTGGTTATCACAGATGGTGTTTCAAATATCAATACTTTCCAGACTGTAACTGAAGCTGAACTAACTCGAAACAGTGATATCCATGTATATGCCATTGGTATTGGCCTCTCAGACACATCTGAGCTAGAAAAAATTGCCAGCAAGCCCAGCAGAGAAAATACATTTAATGTGCAAGACTTCAATGAGTTGCAAGGCGTTAAGAAAGATTTGTTTCAACAATTTTGTCCTGGTATGTAATGAAGAATTACTTCCCTTGTACACAAAATGTCTGCTATCTGCACAGAAGGCCAAATCCAGCAATTTTGCTGCTGGCAAATATCATTTATAGATTAGTTGTTCACACATTATGCACTATTACCAATAATATTTTCCTTTACACTTTTTATTTCACTTAACAGATATTAGCAACATTAAGATCCAATGAAAGCACATTGATTTTTATTTTTCTCTCTATTTCTTTGTTAGGCAACCAACATCAGAATTATAGTTTACAAAAACTAGTTTGCTTACATTTTCATCTGTTGACAGTGTATATGCATACATTATTTTTGGTATTGAGATGTCACTCTTAGAACTATTCTAAGAACTACTTCCAGGGAAATAATAAATAATTTCTAAACAGTGTTTTCCACTTGAAATGACAGGATTCTGTCTTTAGTATTAAAAAATAACAGAGGTGAGAATGCAATTCAGTGTTCTTCAGTTTTGTGAAGGTTTAGAAAGAAAAAATTGCTGATTTTTAACTTTATAAATACTTTAAATAATTCTGTGGTTTCACAAAAAGCTCAACTGAATGGTCATTTCATGTAACTGACTATTTTATTGCAAGCTCTTGTTGGAAATCCTTTGACATTTTTTATTACTCTCCAGTGAAATGAGCAAACTTTGAACAATTTCCTTTTGACTAATCTTGAGTGTTATTGCTCTCTATAAAGTCTTATGATTATAGCATTACAGTAACATGTGTGTTACTATGTGTCACTACATAATTGGACATTTTGATATATTGTAGATTTCAGCATAATTTCTTATAACAGCTTACAACCATATCATGTTCAAACACTGGTTCTCATCTGATCACCAAAGTTAAGCAATGCTGAGCCTGGTCAGTACCTACATGGGTAACTGCTTGGGAATACCAAGTGTTATATGCTTGGATGTGCTGATGGTGTGATGGATAATGGCTTTAAATGAGAAATCAGAGAGCTGAGTTTGAAATGCAGTTGAGTTCATTATAGTCATTTACGTGCACATACCTTTGGGGAAAGGTATAAATACATCTTTTCTCCCCACCAGCTATGGGTTAAATAGGAGGACAGACTGAATCCTATAGCCTTAGTTGGCAACCAGTCTACCACAGAATGTAACAGCAGCCTACTATAGGAATTCTTTTTTCAAGTAAATCATGAATCAAAAAGACATATGATCACCCAAGCGTGCATCATGCATGTCACCTAAGGAAGGAGGAAGGGAATACACAATATTATAGTTCTGCATGTATCATATTTCAATTTTGTATTTTAATCTCACTCTTTCAGATTATTTTCTATCATATATTCACTTGCCATCTAATATACTGTGATTGCATCACACTATAGTGTTATAAGCATTGTATTGTTTCACAATATCATATTTGATACTAAGCAGCTTAACCTGCTCTATGAAAATTTCTGATTTTATATACTATTTTTAAGCATATAACTTCCTTTTATATTATTGCATGACTTCATTTGGATCAAAACATATTTTTGATCATTTCTTTTTATTAGTTCATGTTTCGTTTCCTGTTTTCATATTATGATAATTTTGTTGTGTTGATATCATTTTTTTCTTTAAATCTTTAGTATTACAACTTTTTTCTCACTTTTGATTAAACCAGACTGATATCTGCCTTTCTGTAGATTTATTGGGATTTTCATCCCATGAGACTTATATTCAACATTAAATAACCCAACAAGGGTTGGTATATTGTTAAAATTAGCCAACCTAATCTAACATCTACTTCATCATTTGTTTTACATTTGGCAACATTGTGCTATAATTCATTACTATTAATATTTCAATATTCTTCCTGCTTTGTTTTCTCATCAAGTCAATTGTATAAACAATTGAAAGGTCCAGGATTACTTTGATAATTTTAATTAAAATTACATATATATAAACATATATATGTGATAATTTCTATTCATTGTTTTTTTTTACTGTCATGTGCCCATATAATAAATACATTTTGTACCTTTATTTCTTCTTTCTCTATCTAAATATATGCACACACATAAAAATAAACAGTACCTCTGCATATAATTGTGCAAAATTCATATTAGTAAGCATTATCAAACTTTCTGTATAGATTTTTTCTGACTTTATAGTCTTGTTCTGCAGATATGGCTCCACGTAGGATTATAACAACACCTGGTAAGATTTATTTTCTACTCCTGTTTATTTAATGATGCATGACAATGATTATAAGTAGAATGTACAAACATAAGAAGTTAACAAAAACAACAATTAAATTTTTTCCATTCACTGAGACTGGGAAAAAAAACTTCAGGCAAAACATTAATTTTAAGAATTTTCACATAATTCTATAAACTCAATTATAATTGAAATAATGAAATTCAATATTTTAGCTTAAAGAATTAAGTTATTAACACATAGCTTGTTATAGCTTCCACTTATTTTTATTAACTATTTTAGCATTGATAAATTTTCAGGAATATATTTGGATTTAGCGTATCTGAAAAAGTTGTTCAGGTTCTACAAATCAATTATTCCTTATGTTCTTTTTTATATTATCAAAGCATTTAGATTTACTTATATACATATCTTTTTCATTCTGATTATACTTTTTTCTTTCTTTCTATCTATCTATCTATCTATCTATCTATCTATCTATCTATCTATCTATCTGTATGTATGTATGGTTGTATGTATGTAATGTATGTATATAATTCTGGTTATGTCTATGTATGTATGTTGTTATGGAAATCATCCCTAAAATGTTTGTTTGGGAGTTATGAGTTTTAAAGCTGGTCTTGGTCACAAGTCAACTACTACTATGTATGAATGTAATTCTGGTTATATGTATCTCCTAAACTATTGCACATGATGTATATTATAAAGTGATAGAAACAAAAAAGATGAGGATAATAATTTACACAAATTCTGAAAAACCTGATGCTTTATTTAGCAAGTCTTACATTTGCATTCTTTATCCGCAACAAGCTGATATTTGTTCTTATATTGTCAAAGTTTGCAACACAATCACCATTGCACATTGGTAAAATATAAAGAGTAGATCACCTCAGATTGCACTTAAGTGACACTGCAACACAACAATTCAGGTTTTCATATTGATTGACACAAGAGATTGTTCTTTTCTTCAGCACCTCCTCCAACCACCACCAGGCCAATCTTTACAATGAAGGGTAAGTTTTCATAATACTTACAAATGACTAGAGCTATTTGTATTATTAGAAAATAAATGCAGGAAAAATAAAAAAAAAAGATATTAAATACAATGAAACCAATTCATTGTAGTTAAAACAGTTTCAATGCATTAAACTTTGTTTTCAGAGAGGTTTAGAATTAGAGAAATCATTTTTTCATACTCTTTATTTTCCCATGATGAATTTCAATCGTTTTTAAAGAATTTTACAGGTATTTTCTAATATTTATTGTATCTTGAATGCCTTTCTTAAGCTAAACTTAATGAAGTAAATGGACTAATATTTTTATAACAGCTTAGGTATTTTGAACACACACACACACATATAATGTATGTATGTAAAAATTCAGAGACAGATAAATATCTATAAAGACAATATAAATAAAAGGAAAGATGATCAAAATATTTCATGCCAATTTCATTCTTTGAGGAATGTTATTGAGGCAAGTCTTGTCTGGATAAAGTTCCTCAATGAATGAAACACATTGGCATAAAAGGTTTTCCTTTTGCTTTTCTTTTTTGTTTTGTATATAAGAGTTGTCTTTTTTAAATACTTTTAAAAGAGCTTGTTGATGTGTAAATATCTGATTATTTTCATTGTTGGAATGACTTTGCAGTGTAGTTTATTTGTAAGATATTTCAGCCAATTTTCAACAGCCTATCTACTTCTGTTAATTTATCTGTAACTGTTGGATTTTTATATTAATTGTGTCACGTCTAAATAGTCTTCCATAATATTTTTACAATATGATTGATTTTTCATTCTTTAATTCATATTACATAACAACAAATTTCTTTATGAATTAGGCTTTCCAATTAAGTACCTCTTAACAATTATAATTTTCTTGTCTCTATACCTTTCTTTGAGAATGCAATATATGTATTATAGTTTATATGCATTATGTACAGTTGAATATTTGCATACAATATTATATTTTATAGATATATATATATATATATATATATTCAACTGTATGTAATATATATATATATATATAAATATTCAACTGTATGTAATATATATATATATATATATATATATATATATATGTATGTATGTATATATATAATTTGTCTATGATAATATGCTGTTTATTTTACATCCTATTTCCTTTACTCATCTATATTATGCGAGTTTGAAATGCTATGCTACATAATCTCCCTATTGCTAATCATCCCTTTAGGTAAATGCAGTGCTGCAACAGCTGATATTGTGTTTGTTCTGGATTCTTCAACTAGTGTTAGTGAGCGCAATTTCAAGAAAATGTTGAATTTTGTCAAAGATTTCTTACGGGATGCCACCATTTCCTCAAAATATGTGCGTGTTGGCGTTGTTGTCTATAGCACATCAGTTTACATCCAGTTCCATCTGAATGAATACAAGAAAAAAGAGGATGTATTTTCTGCTATTGACCGTATCCAATACACTTATGGCAGTACAAACACAGCTGGTGCACTTAAAGTAATGAGGAACACCATGTTTACCAAGCAAAATGGTGACCGTGACAATGTGCGCAATATTGCTGTTGTTGTTACTGATGGTGTTTCCAACATCAATTCTCGCCAGACAGTGATGGAAGCAGAGAAAGCCAAAATGGCTGATATCCATATATATGCCATTGGTGTTGGATTGTCAGAAACAGAAGAATTAGAACAGATTGCTTCTGCTCCTGCTGAAGAGAACAAGTTTGCTGTACAAGATTTTGATGAACTTCATGGATTGAGAGCAAAAGTGTTTAAAGAATTCTGCCCAGGTAGAGAAGCTATTTTTTAAAACTAGCATTGTTACACTCTGCAGAAACACATGTCACCTTTTTCGATAACCAGTAAGAAAAAAATACATCTCACACTATTATTTTGCATGAACATTTTATCTATATTTTTATTTTACCATTATTAAAATATTATCATAAATTTTTAAATTCAAAGGTGTTTGTTTCCTATTGAATTGGGAACAATCTGGATCTTTGAAATTATTTACAAAAGTAAAAGCAAAAAATATATAAAAACTATTAATGATGATATTAGAAATTATTATTATTTTCAGTTTTCCTGATTTGTGTTTGATATAATCCTTTACTAAGTCTTTTTCTTGGGACGTGATGTAAAGCAAGGTTTCTTCTTAATGAGCATATTGCATCAAAAAAGTTTATCTGAGTATATGAGTGGTGCTTATGAGCACAATCTTTTGTATCTCAGGTAGTGAGGCATGTTCTGGGATTTTCTTAATCTGCTTTTATTATTATTATTATTATTATTATTTGATTTGATATCCTCTCTAACTCTTAGATGTTTTGGCTGAATGATAATGATCATATCTCATCTCCTACCCACAATTTAAATACACAACACTTTCCTCAGCATATGAGCTGTTTCAAACAGTGCTGCCACCAGTGCACTATTGTTATTATTGAGTGAGAGAGCAGAACGTGATGCTGGGGTACAAATATATGAATCCCAGTATACACATAATGACACCTAGTCTAGGAAGAGTATATCAGGTACATACATCACAGCTAAATGTTCATGATATGGTGACAGATTTTGTTAAAAATAGCAGATGTGATTCACATGTTGCTTTGGTTGCCTCATCCTTCAAATCAACCCCACTATGATGATACACTACATGCATATAAGCAGAAATGTACAGTGCCTCAGCCTCTCAGGAACATGTCCAGCTGCTTATGGTCAAGCAACTGACAAGCACATCTATCATACTGAATAAGATATTTACTGTTACCCACCAAAATCAGCCAAAACAAAACATGTACATATTGTTAGCACCTTGATATAGGGATCAATAAAATGTGGCATCTCATGACAACAACATTACCTGTTGTTATTGTTACTTTGGTAATTATATCAAAAGGAGCAATGATATATGTGTATTAGATTCCTGATAACTCTAAAATATGGAAATTGTAAAATATTATATTCACAGATACTTCTCACATCATGCATAGATTTCTCTCCATGCTGTGATCATAATTATATATATTTTCTCTCTGATTGAATGGCACCTTGTCTGTTTGAATCTTCTGATACAAAAAAATGTTGTCTAATGAAGTCCCTGGTTGATATTTGGGAGCAACTTCTACTAAGCAAAAGCAAAACATATTAATAAAATTTCTGTTAAGGAATAATCAAAATAGTTTACATAACTGTATGCTCAAATAATCTTCTAGAAAGATGCACATAAGTTCTACATTAACATATAAGGGAGTATAATTAACTTATATTTGCACTTATATTTCCACCTGGCACATTATTCAATTCTTTTCTCATAAAGCATGGTTGATAATGCACAAGCATCAGAATATTGTTAAAATTGTGATGTCTTAGCTTGTCTTTAGTTAGTCCCCAAAATCACTTATTGCTGTTTTTAAATATTTGTTTCTATCTAACATCACTTAAGTCTTTCACGAATTAAATTATCTATGTCTTTCATTATTTTTCTTGTAGAATATTTCCCTTTTAGTTTTGCTTATATTCACTTCTATCTTCTGACTTTTTACAACTTTTTGATAATCCTAAGATTTTAAAATCATGTCCTCTTAAAAAAACACTGTTTGCTACTGACTACCTGAGAGAATGATTTTATCTCTGTACCATACTTTACAATTACAACATTATACAGTATAAATTACTTTTCTATTTTCCCTACACATTTAATTTCTATTTGTTATCACATTTTTCAGTTTTTTGTTACATTATCATTTAATTTGTAAATTCAACTTCATCAGATGCTTTTATAAAATATCAACCAAAGAAGGTCAGTTAAAATTTGGGAGAATGTTCAAAAGCATCAAATCTACTGATTTTAATGAAATCATGGATAGATTGTATTGTTGTTAAGATAAATATTGCTTTACTATCTCTAATTCATTCTACATTTGCCACTCTGCAGAAACATGCATTTCAACAAGTATGGACATTGTTTTCCTGCTGGACACTTCCACTAGTGTGGAAGAGCGAAATTTCAAGAAAATGATTGCATTTGTGAAAGATTTGTTGTCCAATGCCACCATTGACAGTGGGATTGTTAGGGTCGGGGTTGCTACTTACAGTACAAGTGTACATGTGGAGTTTAACCTGAATGACTATTCAACCAAAGCTGACATCTTTAAAGCCCTGGACAGAATCAGATACAGGTATGGAAATACAAACACAGCTGGAGCCCTGCACACCATGAGGACACGCATGTTTGCATCATCAAAAGGTGACCGAGAAAATTCTGTTGATGTTGCCATCTTGATGACAGATGGTGTTTCTAATATCAACACAAACCGCATCACAATTGAGGCGAAGGCTGCACGCGACAGAGGTATTCAGGTCTATGCTATTGGTATTGCCTTGGCTGAAACATCTGAGCTGCTCAAAATTGCCTCGGAGCCTGCAGAGGATTATACACTGACAGTTGAAGATTTCCGTGAACTTCAAGGTTTGAAAGGCAAACTCTTTGATTTCTGTGACCTTGGTGAGTTGTAAAGCATGATTCTTCAATTTTGATGCACTCATCCAAATGGCACTTACTTTGGAAGAAAATAGGTGGTTTGCAGAGAATGACTAAAACTCTGCTTATCTATGATAATCACAGTCAATTTCACACTGTTTTGCTTTTAAGTTGATCAACTATTTAGTAGTTTTTTTCATCAGAACTGATTTCACTCACACTTTCCAATTATGCATGTCTATCATTCGAGTATAGATAAGAGTTTATTTTATCATATTTTCACTATGGCTTTATTTTCTACTGACCATGACTAGTTAACCACAAATTTCAAAATATTTTATTCTTTTGTTCTTAATATTATATGAAATAGATTTCAAATCTGTGGCCTAAATAATTTAAAACTACCATGTGATTGATATATTTGATCTTTATTATTTTGATGAATATATTTTATACTTTCATAAATCTTTAAGAATAAGTTGATTTCTGTTGAATAACACATTCTTGTAGAATGTGTACTGGATTGCGATCATGTTATGAATTTATAAAAATATCTCTTAAACTACAGATACTCTTATTTTAGGATTTTGTCTTATTTGTTTTATATTTTTTATGTTGGTAAGTTTCTGCTTTATTTATTTTCTGATTATCTGTATATGTCTCTGATTTTCTCTTCTCTTTAATATATATATATATATATATATATATATATATATATATATATACTTACCTTTCTTTTATATATATATATATATATATATATATATACAGATATACATAATTATATATATATGCATATATACATGTATGTGTGTGTATATATATATGTGTATATATAAACATAATTATATATATAAATATAAACAATTATACATATATATATATGTATATATATATATATATATATATATATATATATATATATTGTTTTTCATACGAATATCTCTACTTTCACAGGTATTACTTTAAAATAATTTCACATCCTCTGCACAGTATATATATATATATATATATATATATATATATATATATTTTTGTCACCAACTTGGCTTCTCCTCCATCAAATCACCCTTAAGCACTTTTTCTTATAGTTTTCTTCACTCACAAAAATGCACAGTTGAATTGGAATACCCACTGCCCTTTATTCTATAGATTGGATTGATTTTTCTGTTTTAGTCTTTTTGGCTTTATCATTTCATTTCCATCCTCTGCTAAAGATTTTTTATTACTATCCTATACCTTCATTGCTGCTTCAGACTTCATAAGAAATTTTTATAGGTGAAATAAATGGTACCTGTTTCTGAGTTTACTCAGAGTTGTTTGCAATCTCTCATAAACCAAAACACGTGTTTTGACATTTTCCTATCTGTAAACCATAAAAAATTGTAACAACATTTTTATTCGTTTTGATAAAGATAAGAGAAAAATTTTAATTAGTTGCTTTGCTCCCCACTCCCTAGAAATTTACTGGCATAATAACTGAAAGAAATAGAAATAATTTCTCTGTCATCCTACTTTCTTACAGAACTCATACCTGTAATTACAACTACTGGTAAGTTGAACTAATCTAAATCTATTGATAACACTTATCTAAAATTATTTTAAATTCATATCTCAAAATGAATTGCAACCAATAATTCATTTGACTTAGTTATTGAAATTCTTATTATATTATTGTAATTATATTAGCTTGTTGTCATATTTGATTGTAATTTTTAGGGCAAAATTTTAATTATAGAATACAAATTTTCAAATGTATTCATTGATCAATATGTTTACTCATAGACCAATGAAAGTTTTTTTTCTATGTTTTGGATAATTTTCTTAATTTCCAATGAAGAGATAAATATAAATTGTCCGATGTCTGAGTACTTCTGGTTTCCATAAACCATTATTAAAGTATTTTTGTTTTGTGCTATGTTGGTTTTATTGTTTTTCAAATGTCACGTCATGTCAGTTTTTATGACTTCTTCCCACAACAGTTTATGTTGTGTAATTTTTTTAACAATATCTAAAACAGAAAAATAAATAAAAATTTTTCCTTATCAAAGAACCTTTGTTGACCTTTAACCAAACTTTTATAAATAAAAAATTTCTGCCCAAATATACCCAATATAGTAAACACTACTTTGTTTCAATTTGTGGATTACATGAAAGTTTATTACTGCAACATATTCTGAAGAAAAGGTTTCATTATAAGTAGAGTAATTTCCTGAATAACATTAGAAATAAAAGAAATCTATTTCTTTATATTAATATTATATTAATGGGAATCAAATGTTTTTCTAGACACTATTATTTATGACATAATTTTTCATATC